AAAATATAGACATCCGAATATTGGTCCTTCGGTGTTTGTTCATTTGGGACCCATATTGAGTCCAACTGGGGCCGAAGTAAAATTGTTGCTAGGGTATTGAGTGAATCTGGCAATTCTACATAGGGCTGATATTGGTTGCAAAATATGTGGTGAATCGAACAATTTTATATAGGTCCAGTATCGGAAAATAATGACCCTTAAAATCCTTATTGAGTCAAAATTCGCGAATATTGGTCAAATGAGGGTCCAAGTTATTTTGCAGCAAAGGATTTTGAGGAAATTTAAAGATAACAATGATGCCCAAGAGGGAATTAACACATGTTTCCTCATGCTGTTTGATCCTTCCCTTTCTCTTGAAACGTCACAATAACAGGAAATCATTTCAATATAACTTTGTGATTTCAATATAATGATGTTTTTCCCATCACCTTAGATGCAAATTTAATAACAGCTGCGTCAAATCACCTTAATATATTAAAACAAACGTAAAGAATTAAATTTGAGTTTGCATTATGCTAGTTGTTAAGGAAGAAAATCAATATTTTGTTGAAATTTTTTTTAAAACAAAATATGTATCAATATCATACAGATATTTGACCCAATCAGAATGAAAAATACTGAACTAGAAAAAAAGATGCCGATTTTTCAGCATATTTCGAGAGATTAATGCACAATTACACGAAAATAAATTGAAAGCACTAATAAAAAATACTGAATTCAGTAAAAATACTGAAAATTCACATGTCTGATCATATGCAGCAGTATTAATATGATATGCAGCACGTACAGTCTACAGAGTTTTTCTCTTTTGCTCAAAAGGATAAATTAAAATACAAACATTGCAACAGAAAACAAATTTATTATACATAATCATACATATTTGTTACAAAAATAATTTTTAGGTTTCATCAAACGATAATTTGATATGTAATAAATAGCAAAAAAAAATTCAAAAATATGGTTAAAAAAATTTTTTTTTGACAAAATAGATTGCTACTTATGCTTATCATTATATTCATTCATTACAGTAATTCTCCCAGTACGATAATCATGTTGCATTATTATCCCTTATCAAGATTGCAATTGCAGCAATTACAGATATTTAATTGGGACCCAACCTAATTTGGATAATCAAAATATTCGGAATACTTTTTATAACCTATTTTATTCGATTTTCAAGAAGGTTAAGGTTATTTCAATAATGGTGCCATATAGTATTTAACTTTAACTTTTAATAGACTAATTAATTAACGTTAAATTAAACAAATTTATTTATCCTGACTTTGTTTGGTTATAAGTATGAGGGGGCAGTACTTATAATTTTGGCAGCAATAAAATTCACTTCAGATGGCAAAAAGAAAAGAACTTATTGTGGAACAGAATTATGACAGTTTATTGAGTAAAAAAGAAAGAGAACTAAGAGCACTCTTAAAAAAGAAATTTAACATTGTTTCCAGATTAAAGTGGTGCAGACAATCAAGGTTATACTGTAGTATTTATTTTATGATCATTGTTAATTGCATAACTAAGAATGCAAATACACGGTAAAACTTTCATAATTAGAATCACCTACATCCGAATAATTCTTCTAACCAAATCAATTCCAAAGTTGATTCTTTTCCCTTCATTTTCAATAATATACTGCCTTAATTCAGTAATACCTAAAACCTTATTAAAAAATATTTTTTGTAAAATAAAGAACTGATCATTTTACGCGAGTAACAAATTAACCTCAATTAACAAATTAACGTGAGTAAACCTCATCAATAAACATTTTGTTAATTTACGAAGTTTTACAAAAGGAATCTGCAAGTTGCAATTTTTATCGTTTCATTACTGCTGGCGTAGTTTTGTTTGAACATCGTGGCTACCACTTCTGCTAAAAGTGAAGTGTGTAAAGTTATCTGGGTGAGAAAAATAGAACATTCTAATGTGAAAAGAATGCAGAGAAATCTTGACAAAGACTGTAAAGAAATATGAATCATTTAAATAGGTTTCGTAGGTTAAGTAGCTATATATATATATATGCAGCTTTAATTTACAGGATATACAGAACTTATTATACACAGTAGTGTCTTAAGTAATTAAAAAGCTACAATGAAAGACATTTTATATGACACAGAAAGTACCTAACAAAAGTATCACAAATACAAGATCTACCTTACACACATATAAATTTTGGCACAGCATTAAGGATTTACTTGTTAGAACAGTATGAGTTATATACATTTTGTCAGTTCCTATAGTATTTATATTATTTTTTTTTAATAAAATTAAATATGTAAATAAAGTAAAACTGTTTGAACCAGCACTGCACAATAATAAATTATTTGAACATAACATAAAATTAATAAAATGCTTTATTTTTTTTTCACTTCATTTGTTCGTGTCATTAAAAAAAGTTAGCATTTAAAAAGAAATTTTTGTGTTCAAAAATTTGCTGAAATGCTCTTACATTTCAAATAGTTTAATAATCCGTCTGGCAGCAAGTATAAAGCATTTGAAATTGCTAGTATCTCAAGTGTTAAAATAATTTCTTGAATCTAATAAAGAACTTATTGCCTCCAAAAATAGAAGATGATTAAAAAAATCAATTAAAGAAAAATGGAACGAGAAAAATGTAGTTTACAAGCATAATTTTGCTAAGAAAATCATAGAATTTGTTCACCCCAAGTTTTAAAATTAGGTAACAGATGATAGCATGTTAGTGAGATATTTGCACTGGTGTGTGTCAATTTTGTCTTTAAACTTTGCGACATCCTGTCAGCATAATTTATAGAACAATCTGGTATGATTCAAAATCGTCTGCGACCCCAAAACAGTCAGTCAAAAACTTATCAGTTTAAAAATTGAGCTTATCTAACATGGGTAAAGCTAAATATGCAAAAGTAAAAAGCAAGCACTATGAATACAAATTACTTTAATGTAATTTATTTTAACCTACAAATAAATTATTTTATAGTAATTCAAATTTCTCATAATAACATTAACACGTTTTTTAAAAAATACTTATTAAATTTCAAGAAGTAATCAATTGTTAAAGAGCCTGTAACCAAATAACCACAATTTTTGGAAATGAATAAGTTTTCAAATTTTCTTGTTTATTATTATTTTATTTTAAAAAAGTTCCAGTTAATCCAAAAAATAAATAAATAATAATATGTGTTAGTGTTATTAAAATGAATTGAAATTATCAATTCAATCAAATTTTGTAAGAGTCAATAAATTTTCTTACATATCTGCAGATAAGTTTCGGACTTTTTCAGAAAATCTAGTCAATTGAGAAAAAATTTGCGTGCGCAAAATGACTAATCCTCCCTTGCTGCACTTAAAGTAGATCCTTTCTGATTTTTTCCCAACATAATCTTTACTCATTTTCAATATTTAAACTTCTCAATTTTTTAGTCATAATTTTTTATTAAAATGAGAAAAATAATCTGCAGTTGCTGTGCTGATTTACAGTGCCTACTGCAGAGATTCTGTTAGCAGGGCCACATGATAATTATTAGTGTTTTAGGTGATAAAGCATATGGTTCTCAATGAAGTGACCCAGGTTCAAATCCCAGGAATGGCTGGTTGATATGAATTCAGCTCCTGGCTCACATAAAATATCTTTCGTAGTAAACAGATAATGGGTTAGAATTCCTTTGCCCACCGTGGGGAGTTTTCACGGTTTTCCTCCTCATAGAATGCAAATACAGGTTAGTTCCATCAAAAAGTTCTCCACAAAGACTAGTTTGTCCCAATGTTTAATGCAGGTTTTTCCTTGTCTACTGAATTGGAATCAAGATTATAAGGCTATGGAGTTTAATTTTAATAGTCGTAAACTCAGAATTGGGTCAGCTGTTCAAAAACCAGGTAATAATAAAATAAAATTAGCAGCGTTATCTGTTGATGAACTTTGCAATGAATTTTAAAACATGGCTAGAATAAATTCCTCATTTTCCTAATCAGCACAAAGGAAATCATATATTTTTATCTCCTTCCATTTATATTTAATCGACTTTCCAAATTGGCAATAATTTTTAGAACATCCAAAGTAATAAGCTGTTCAACTTTAATTTATTTTTCATATGCACTGGTACAATAATTATTTCTAGAGCAGTGGTTAATAGATTTGAGATTCATTGGTAAAGTCGCTATTAAAGAAAGCCACCTAGATTTCTAGTCTAGTGGATGATTTTGGATTACAGCAAATGATATGGTTACCAAAATAATTTTTGTGCATAGGCATAAAATTCATCATGCACAAGCATTAAAATTAATTTGGTAAGATATTTTTTTGAAAAATATATAAATTACTATCAATCTAAAAAATAAAAATCCTAATTTTAATTTACACATGAATATTTTATCACACCAATTACAATACTTCAATTATTTACAAAATTAAATTAGCTAATCAATGTTCATACAAATGATGGGGAGTATCCATAGACCATATTCATCTCAACTGCTTCAAAAGTGATGGAAAAAAAAAGTTTTAATTTAGGAAACTTTTTATACACGTCTACAGTAAAAATGTTTCGAATTAACGTTGAATAATTAAAACATACCAAGAAAATGACACACCAGTTATATATCACACTTTATATACACAACAGTATAGGAGACCCTATTTTTGAAAATGTAATAAGTCCATTTGAAGCTAAAAGATTTCTTATTTATTTATTTGATTATTTTACTAAGAATTATTATTTAATTTTGATATTTAACCAAATTACAGTTAAAAGCATCACCCAAATTAATTAACCTTCGCCAATATTTTTAAATTCATTCAAACACAAACTCATAAAAGCATCAAAATTATACCACTTTCCAAATAAACTTATACTACACAATTGTATAAGATGTAAATTATTATACACAATTTACATCTTAATTAATTAAATTCCAATACATAAGGTAAGAGAATAAAAATAAATTTATAAAGTTACAAATGTGCTTATTATATTTTAATTGAGTTATATATTTAAAAATTATTAGTTGAGTAAAATTATTTAAACATTCAATAAAAAACAGAAACATTGTTTTTAAAATTAACTTAAAATAAAATTCTTCAAAATTTAGCCAAAATAGTTAATTTCTTCCAAATTAACTATAAACTAAAAATCTTGGAACACGCCTATTTTAAACAGTTGGGAAAGGACAGCATTTTGCTATGATGCAAAAAATAGTAGTAAATTTATTCCTAGAATATATTGATATTTTATAATGTTAGCAACTACTTTAGTTTTAAAATTTTGTAGATCAAAATATAAACATTTATATCATAACAGTATTATGGTGAATGTCTTTATTTTCTTAAGATAAACAAAATAAATGAGTAACCAATTCTCACCTATTTGGGGGGAGGGGACAGCTGAGAATATTGGCCTTTAATGAGTTAAAATAATGAATATATTTCAGGGTTTGTTACTTCTTAACTAATTTTTCTAACTTAATTAGAAAAATAACAAATAAAACTGCTTTATCACAGTGACATTTCATAAACACGAGGATTAAAAAAAAAAAAAAAACTGCTTTTACTAATTCAGATATTTGCACTTTGTTTCATTAAAAAAATTACAATCAAAATTTATAATGGAAACAAAACTTTTTATACATAAGAAAAAAATATAAGCATCTTCTGATTTACAAATGTCTAATGTTTGGAATAGTATCTAAGAATTCAAACAAAGATGTGTTGTAAACATACTGATTACAGCATGCATTAAACAGCAAATATGCATTTTTGGAAAAAAATAAACAAATAAGAAAAATTATGCAATTCTGGGAAATTACTACTAACAATTCAGTTAGCATAGTAAAATACATTGTTACTTTATATAACATTTTCTTAAAATAAGTAGGAATGAAAAATTTTGCAAAAATTTTACTATCTGACATTGTAAATAGTTAAGTGGAGCTATTTTAAACAATAAAAACAAAGAATACTTTTCATTTCTCTCAAAAACTGAAAAAGTTTCGTTTCTTCAAATTCTATTCTCAGTTAAAAATTTCTCAGTAAATCTTCTCGTACATGTTTTATATTCTTAATTTGTTTGCTTTGTAAATATTATAAAAATATAAACTTTTAGGCTGTTTTTAAAAATAATTTCTAATCTCTTATGATTGTAGCAAAAATACAGTTGTTATTGAAGATTTAATAACAATTTGACTATTTATAATTTGGTAACAATGAATCAGCAAGTTTAGTCCCAATATAAAAATAGCTTGCCAAATTTTTCCTTTCAAAAAAGTATAGCAGAAAATACAACCTTCGGAATCGAAATTTAAGCTCAACTCGCAGTGGCTTTTGTCCTTTAAGAGATGCAGTTATCACTACATAACACTGGAATTTGGATAAAAGAATTTAGTAATAATAGATAAGAAAATAAAACAAAAAAATTCTGCTAATATTATTAAATATATATATTTTAAAATTGCTAAGATTTTCTTTCACTTTTTTCGTTTAGACATCTTTCCATTTCTTTGAAAAGTGCTAAGCGATACGCTTCATAGTTCATCACAATATTTTCCAGTTCTTGTCTATAGAGACGATTTAACATTGCTTGGTAACAATCTAATTCAGGAAGTTTGAAGAGATTCCACTAAAAATAAATAAATAAATAAGATATAATGAAATCTCAAACTTTTCACACAACTTTTCACAAACTTTATACAAATGTTTAAACAAAATTTTTTTTACAAAAATACCTATCATATTTTCAGAACAAAATTTTCTATTTTACACAGACTAATATTAACATTAGTACAACAACAGGAACAATATTACAATAGAAATACAAAAAAGAATCACTACAGCCAGGGCCGGATTAACCTATAGGCACACTAGGTACGTTCCTAGGGCCTACGAAATTCAGGGGCCTACGAAAAAAAAAAATCAAACGTAGTGGAATCAGAAAAACAGTTTAGTTTTTCTGATTCCATTCCGTTTGATTTTTTTTTCTTTTCACGATAAATTTCGCACTCAATAAATTCTTTTTATTCATAAATTTTATCATTAGGTTTTTTTTTTTTTTTTAAAATTCCGTTGATCTTGCCTTGTTCCGGGTTTTAATATTTATGCTAGTGCCTTTTTTAACTATCGTTTCGGTTCGATAATTTTCAAGTGTTTTGATTTAGATTAATAAGTTTTCCTTTTATTTTATTGTCCCCCCCCCCCGTTTAATTAGGTATGAAATATATTGCGTTATTTAATCATTGGTTTTGTTTATATAAGTTAATTTAGAAATTGCAATTATTTTTAAAAAATAAATATGAGAATTTTGTATTTTTTAAACTTGTTTTTCTTGTCTAAACTTGTAAATTTTTTATTCTTTTAAATGTTATATTTCTACCATTTTTTTTTCTCTTTAAAGTTAGGAGTACCTTTCTTTTTTCTCTTACTTTATGCATTACACTTGTCGGTATTGCAGATAAAGTTCGATAAACAAATTCGTAAATTAAAATCCATATTAATAAAAGTGTAAAAAAAAAATATGCAAGAAAATTTCAGCATATATTTGGAAAAGAGGAGAGGAGAGGGGGAAGGAGGTGAGGGCCCAAAAACGGCTATGCCTAGGGCCTACGAAAGGTATAATCCGGCTCTGTGCCTAGGGCCTACGAAAGGTAGAATCCGGTTCTGACTACAGCCAATAAATGTTTCAATGACATTCGAAAACACTTAAAATCTAATTCATAGAAAAACAAAAGTTTTACTATATAAATCTCATTTAAGATCAATTTTAACATGTGCTTGTGAAACCTGGACCGTATCTTGCACGGGTGAGGTTGCGTTGTGTATCTATGAGAGAAACGTCTTGAAAATTATTTTTGGAGGAATTAAAAAAAAAAATGGTGTGTGGCTTTGAAGAACAAATTTAGAGCTTTATTACTCATATAATGAACCTGACATTATTAACTTCATTAAACGACAAAGAATAAAATGGACAGGCCACATGATCGGAATGGATGAAGACCGTTTCACAAAATGAGTTTTCAATGCCAGACTAGTTGGCAAACGAGAATTTGAGATAGATAGATGGCCTAGAAAAATACATTTTGGTCTTAAAAACTAAAAACTGGAAAACGCTAGCAGAAAAAAAGGTTAGACTGGAAAAAATTTCTTGAGAAGACCAAGGCTCACACTGGGCTGTCAAGTCATTGATGATGATGAATAACATTAGTATCACATATTTTAAATGAAGATTAAAGTAATAATTACACATACTTTAAATTTACCAATACTTTAAATTTAAAAGAAATGTAAACTAAACACAAAATATCTTTAGATACATTTTACAAAATTTAATTTTCATAAAGTTCCTATTTTTTTTATACAAAAAAATATTACTTACTTTGTTGGAGTAATAATAAAATAGGGGGAAAAATATGGCAAAACATTATATCAATTAAAAAAAAACTAAGAATAACAATTACAAAATATCTAATGCTACTCATTAAAATTTTGTGGTTTGTGCAAGAAAATAAATTGAATAAAAATTATATTTACTTTTAACTTGTAATCGAATTCTGATGGCGCCTTTGAATACACATATAACCAATGTGGAATTTCTGTAAAATACACAAAAAGAATTAATATTAAATAACAGATTTATAATAAATAAAAGCCAATTAAAGTATAAGCTATTGAATTATATTATTTTAAAAACACAAAAAGATATTACAAATTAAGAAATAATACTGTATAAAAGATGTATACATTATATACAGATGTATATATAGATGTGTACATTACAGTGTATACAAGATGTATACACTGTATACTGTATAACAGATAGAGTGTAGAACGTACTTTATATAGAGTAAAACTACTATTTACCTTCAGTAAGATAAGGATTTGCAGGAACTATCACATTATGCTGATGAAAATTTGTATGCCGGGGAGGTGGATAGCGATTCTGGTTCAGCAAAGAAGCTTGATATATAATGGCACTATTATGACCATATTGAGGGGCACATGGATGCTCATATTGAGCTAATTTTGTTATATGGCTACAGAAAAATAAAATGCATTATAAGATAATTGCATAAATATTCAAACAACTATGATCACATGTTACTTTAGAAAGATATTTTTTCTTATACACACAAAATCACACAGAAATTTCTGCAATAATTACACTGATTTTATCTGAGTTTAGAAACACACTTCAATTATCTTCTACAATTTTTTTATGACACAGAAGTAAGCAGAGATACGTGGATGTCTGGGGGTAAATTTCTCGTTTAGATGCCCCTGAAACAAATGCAGGCATTGGAAGCCAAAATAAATAAATAAATAAAAATAATAAAAAGATCTATTGATAAAAAATCTATTATTATAAAAAAAAAAAAACATCTGCATGATATTTATTTAAATTAAAATCCATAGATAAAATTAATTTTTTATATAAATATATACAGATATTACTATGTGATCATAAAATTATTTTCAATTAAATATCTGTATTTCTGGTTGGATATATATACAGTGAAACCTCCTGTTATGGACACTCCTGCAAAACGGACGCCTCTCAATACGGACATATTTTTAATTCCCCGGGAATCTTCTATGAATAAACCATTATGTACATTCTCCGCAAAGCGGACACTCCCGTAACCGGACGCGGACAGTCATTTTAATCCTGAAACGTTGTTTTTTATCTCTACAAACCGGACACTACTTTTTCTAAATAAATTGCAAGCTAAAAAAATTCAACTTTTCACCATTTTTAAAGCATGTAAATAAAACTTTTTGCCTTATCCATAACTAAAAATATTGTTAAGCTATTTCACCACCGAAAAATCAATCTTTCTCCTGTCACCTTGCCTTATCTTTGTAAAGAAAGGAGAGAAAATGGTACTGCACTCCTGAAATAATTCTGACATCGGCATCTTTTGATCTTTTCATCTGGACCACACAGGTTATGAGACCCCTCAAGTTGAAATGACTTCTCTCAATGCTTCTTCCCCATTGAAAATTTCTTTAATTTTCTTATCAATTTGAAGACTGTATTTAACACAACTGGGGTAAAAAAAAGAGAACAGAAGTATAATCTTTGAGGTGTTTATATAAATGAAACATTTATTCAGACACTTGATAGCTGATCAATTGTGAATAATCATCTCCATAGGTCCTCATGACTTACAGGTATGCATTACTTTTTTTTCTGTGAATCATGGGAGGTTTATTTTCCAAGAAGGTATTAACCATGTTCCCTATCAAATGATAAGTAGGTGTAAGGGGATGTGAACCTAATAATTGAAACGGACTGAGGACAGTACGCTCCTATTTGGTATCATATGTCTAACTTGAGTATCTATGCTAATAGGAAAATTATATTTATTTATCTGTAGCTACATCCAGAATTATGTATTTATATCAAACTTCTTTATATATTCTTTTTTATCTTTCTTATTGTTTAAATAAATATTCTTGTAGATATTTACAGTATCCTTGTAGATATTATTTAATTATTTCTACATCTTTGAGAATATTCCAAGAACAATTTTCGGTGTTAAATTTCGTTATTAGAGTACCCTTCTCGTAAACGGACAACTCTCATAAACGGACAAATTTTTTGGTCCCATGAATGTCCGCTTAACGGAGGTTTCACTGTATATATATATTTCTTTTTAATGTAAATAACATTTTAATTTTATTGCTGAATTTTCTCTTAAGTATTGTAATGTTTTAAAACTTCATCATTTAATTTACCAGAAAATCATAGTCTACATAAAATATTTTCCAAGAGCTAAAATATTACTAAGTGAAAAAATTTAATTATATAATAAAAAACATTAATAGATTTAAAGTCTGTATTTAAAATTTTAAAGTCTGTAGTCATTCACTGGATGACTCCTTTTGCTTCATGCTGTTACCCCTTTGATCATATACTATAGAAAAATGTAAATAATCATAGTTACACTTATTCAAATTACAACTACAGTGCCCACGGCTTATTAAAATCACATCTATGCTGAGAATATTTCATTTTATAAGTGGCTGATTTTATAAACTAGAATGTCTAAACTTAGGAAGAAAAACACGATTTTCAAACTTCACAAATACATTTGAAGCTAAATTGATGATTAAGACTTATATTTTATTTTTACTGAATCTATATTTGATATTTTAATTTAATATTATCTAAATCTAGATTTCTTTTCATTTACAGAAGGATTTTAAAATATTAATACATTTGTTTGATTATGAAAATTTAAAATTCAATGTGGTTTGAAAGTTATAACAGTTATTGTAAACTTTCAATATTTCCTTTTCTTTGCTCTTAAGTTCATTTTGATATAACAAACGTTTTTCAAATATCTTTTGAAGATAAATTTACCTTATTGAATAAGAGATTATCCTTAGCACTGAATGATGATAGGTATTCTAGAACTTTTCATAATTCCTCTAGAACTTTTCATAAAGTTTTCATTTGAATTCCTTTACAATCCATGCATAATAATTTTTTTATTCACAAACTTCCATTTCCTTAAGAAGTGAAATTTATGTCTGTTACTTAATTCTTTTAGTTGGTAGGGGGCACAATGAAATTTGTTATTTATATGCTTTCAAAACTTCAGAAAATCCAAAATTCCAATTGCCCATAACAAAAAGCAAAGTTTTTAATTATTTTAAACACATGCCCAATAAAATTCAATTTTATAAAACAGAAAGAAATCATGATTTTAATAACGAATGGTCTTAGCATGTTTTGATATTGTAATAATTCCTTGCTGATTTGATATTTAAAAGCAGATGACTTTACATTGTTGTGATTTTATTAGTAGCAAACTTTGTATCACTCTAACATGGGAAATATGCATCTCAAAAATTCTTACTAAAACAAAGTTAAGCCTTGCCCTGGATAGGGTACAAATTAGCCTTCAAGTCTGCCCCTTGGGTAAAATAGGTCCCATTAAAGTTACTGTTTATTAACTTTTAAACTAACAAAAACTTCCGAGCTTATATGCAATTATGGTGTAACCCATAATTGCATATAAGCTCGTACTATCCTCCCAGCTGGGATTTGATCTTGGGCCCTCTTAGGTGAACAGCCTAACCGTAACACCACAAATATATATAAGTAGGGAAGTTTTTGTTAGTTTAAAAAAATGAACTGAAACTTTAATGGGGCATATTTTATCCTAGGGGCAGATTAGGTGGCTATTATGAGCCCTATCCAAGGTTTTCAAACAAGATCTTTAACTTAAACTTAACTTTGTTTTAATAGGTATTGTAAGCAGAATATTAAAGAAATTAGATACATACTTGACATAGTAAACACCATTATCAGGAGATTCAATTCGTTCCCACCCAGTAGGCAAGCCTTCTTTTTCAAGAGGATGACTCCAATGTGTTGTCTTCGTATTATGATCAACATAATACTTTCTACCTCTCATTGTATAATCAACAGACCAACCAGGAGGTAAAGGCAATTCATTAGGAGTAGAATAGCAGGCTCCTGCACTAGAGGGAAGGACAGACACTGAAGATGAGGCAGCAACAGGGTTTGGAATCGCTTGCTGGTGACTCTCTACAGCTGAGAGATTTGCATGCATAGGCAATACAGCCATTGAAGAATGTTGAATGTTGCTACTGCTAGCAAGTGACTGGGGTACTCTTGAAGTCGTAACAAATGCGGCTGAATATGCAAGCTGTGAAGCATTGTCTGGTACGTTTTGATATGTATGATTATACATTTTTTCTAAAAAGAAAATAGAAATAGGCATAATAAGTACATTTTAGATGCATTAAAATATAATGCTGAGTTGCCCACATTTAAAATCATTCAGAACAATTGAGAAGTGCTTCAATGTAAGTAATTATTTTCTATTAGTGCTAAACTCAGTAGCAGAATTCACTAAGTGAATCTGCTGCACTATCTGCATAAATCCAAATTTGTTTGTGATCTCAACGTAGTCAGGCAGATACTATTATTGTAAAAATTTAGCTTAATCTAAAATCTAAGTTGTAAAATTTCAAAATATAAGATCTCTTTTACATAAATACTTTATAATGTTTAAATTTAAGGTTAATTTAAAAATTAGTCTGCAGTCAAGTAACAATAAAAAAAAAAAAATCTTGACTTTTTGTTCTTTAAGGTGTTCTCTCAATTTTTAGAAACAAGTTTAGAATGGTTTTAAAAAGTAGTGGCAGCAGTTATACCAATTTGTTTATTTTTAAAAAAATAAAAAACAACTTTAATGAAAACTAATTTGCAGATGTTGTAATAATTGGCAGCACCTGCTGCCTTGTTGGAGCATTTCTATTAGTAAATCTTGAGTACTACTTTAAAAAGATTTCAAGACTGAACTTATTTTTTGACCAATTAGCATAGCCTAGCAATAGTAATCAGAATTTTTCAGAAATTTACAGCTCACTTTCTATGAGAATGGCCCACATATTATAATAACGACTAGGATTTTTTTTAAAAAAAACACATTTATTTTTCTTCATTTTATTAATTAATTTTTACAGCAAACAAAACAAAAATAGCAGTTAATCTTGTGTTTTCTTTTTCTAATCATAATTTAGCTTTGCCCAACACATCAAAATGTCGGTAAAAAATTACAAACTCAAGCAGATTCAGATCGAACAATCCAAATTTTGTGTACACAAGATTTCAAGTTCTCAGTTCCACTTTTCGTGGTAGTAAGACATCATTATTTGATCACTTACAACAATTATTTAAAAAAAAAAAAAAAACAATTTTTTTTTCCATTTATTTTAACAGAATTTTTTTCTACATTTTTTAAAGTAAAATGGAACTTTTTAGTTATTTATTTTTAAAAAACTTAATTAAAAAAAAAATGTATGCAAATATATTAATTGCTGGTCGGAATTCAGTCCATTTCTCTCAATACTGATTTTAGTCCTCGGGAATGAAGAATGGCACCAATGAGGTAGGAAATATTTTGTGTAAGTACTGTAAAATCAGAGAGTTAATTTTTAAATATTTTTTACTTAAACATGAAAGTACAAAATTTGTTAATGTTTTTGGAATCAAAAATAAGAGCCTTAAAAATGAAGTGAAGATTATGATTCACATAAAGATAAAATTTGCAAAATTTTCAAATTTGCTTTTCTTACAGAAACAGAAGAGAAATGGGAATAACTTACGAGATATTATATTAGTGTTTGGAGTAGCTATGGATGGTTGCAAGTGAAATTGTTCATTAGAAGTTTGATGAAAGTTAGGAGAATACTGATCTCGAATTTGTTGATGATATAAATGGATTTGGATACTATCATCTTGTTTATATGCTATTTCAGGAAGATGATTTTCAGATTCAACACTTCTTTGACCTGGAACTTCAATTATAGAAACAGCCGCAGGCACAGTAACACATCTCAGATTTGGATTGCTGTCTTCTTTACTTTTAATAGGAATACCATCTATAGTCAAAATGAGAAGAAAAATGAGTATGGTTTCATACACTTTATAAAGTTCATTTAAGAAATTTTTTATGGGAATACTAAATGATAAAACTTTTTAAGTTGATGGGCTAAAATCATTTTTTGAATAATCAAAATTGATAGATAATAATAAATTACAGCTAAAACCGATCAATCCTCATAAGATTGATTGGTATGTAATAACAAGAGAGTGGCTCTCAAGTGGATTCCGGTCCACTGTGGAATCCAGGGAAACGAGGCGGCCGATCTTCTGGCAAAAAAGGGAGCCTCTGTCCTACAGAGATTTAATTCTAGACTCCCTTTCTATAATATCAAATGCCCCATAAAGAAAATATTCAAGACCTCTTTTCACGATGAACTCATAAATCCTAATTCCAATAAACCATGGCTTAAACAGATTGTCAATGTCTCTCAGTGGCCTAGGATGAAATCTGTTGCCATGTTTCGTCTGATAACTGGCCAAGATTGCCTGAAAAAACATCTGCGCCACATCAACGTGGTTTATGATCCCTTTTGTACATTGTGTGACCTCCACAAGGTTATGGACTTGTCTCACCTGTCTAGGTGCCCTGCTCTCCTTCGGAAATCTATCTGGGAACGCTACTGGACTGCTCGCTCTTATTTATAGATTTATTGTTATCTTTTTGATGCTCAATCAGAAATTCTTGTTTAGGTTATAATACAGTGAAACCTCTCGGGAGCAACCACTTTCCGTTTCACAGTAAAATGGTAGTTGGCCGCTCTTAGGGGTTACCTGCATTGACTTCAAAATTATTACTGAAGGAAAATGACTTTTCACTGACGAATTTAATTTTAGTCATTGTCATTTTCTTGGTACAGAAATGCCACTTCTGCTGGTGTCATGAAAAGAAAAATCTATGAATTAAATTTAGCATCTATAAAAATGATCTTCACTGATATAATAATGTGCAAACACAAATTTACCAAATATGAATGATAAAGATACTTTAAATGAATAAACAATTATGTTTTTTTTGTTTAAGTTTGCATTTAACTTTAAATCATAAAAATGAGTTAGTTTTGAAAAGAAAAAAGGTTTGTTTGAGATGCTTGCTTCTTCTATAACTTTTTTTTCTAATTTAACTTTAAGCTCTGAAAGTAAATCATTGATAGAGCACTCTGACAGTAACATGAGGTTGCATCGCAAAACGAATTCTCTAAATAAGAGTTACACACAAATATTTAGAATACATTTTAATCTACTTATTTGTTTTATAAAATTTTTTGTTTTGATATTTTTTTTTGCGTTTCCTTATTTGACCTTTTCTGCACTTGGTGAAGATATTTGTCCGGTCGCTGGGAGAGGTCTTAATGGTCCCTATTTGAGGTTTTCCTCAATACAAAGTCTATGGAAAAAATTCTGTGCTCACAAAAGTGGTTATAAATTGAGGTGGTAGCAACATGGAGGTGGTATTTCCTGGAGGCTTCACTGTACCACACACTTATTGAAGTTTAACTTCGAGATTAACAAACTTAAAAGTTACTAAAAAGTATATAATAATACGAATTTACATTAATTCTTTTTATTTTATCACATTAAAGGCACAAAATTCCACTTCAAAATAAAATATACCTTGCTCAAGACTGCCTAGAATTTTTACAAGAATCTAGAAACTTTTGCCAGAATGTAAAAATTGAAATATGAGAACTTGATATTCATGTTTTTTTGTAAATTTTATATTTTTTGGGTTTACGACTACTAATGTTCTACTCCATAGGCTTTAATTTTGAACCCAATCCAGAAGACAAGGGAACTCCTGGATCAAGTATTAGGAGAAATTTGCCTTCGTGGACGACATTTTGATGGAACTAATCCGCATTTGCTTCACATGGATTTATTCAGAAAATATGCGTTTTTTTTTTTCACCTGATTTTGTGGCACAAATTATGTTCAGCACTAATTAATTTAATTTTATTTTATAACCGTCGTTGAACAGCCTACCCAATTTTATGGGTTTACGACTACTAATGTTCAACTCCGTAGTCTTGCAATTTAGAACCCAATCCAGAAGACAAGGGAACTCCTGGATCGAGTATTGGGAGAAATTTGACTTCGCGGAGGAATTTTTGATGAAGCTAACCAGCATTTGCGTTACATGGAGAGGAAGACCACGAGAACCTCCCACGGTTAGCCTGACGGCAAGTGGACTCTAGCCCATGATTGGTCTACCACAGGACATTTCAGCACTGTGGTCAGTGCAAGCCGGATGCGGAATTCGTAACAACCGCCCATTGCCAGGATTCGAACCTGGTTCACCTCATTGGAAGGCGAATGCTCTATCCCCTGAGCCATTGGGGCTTTGATATTCATAGTCAACAAATTTTAAAATTATGATTAGTAATTCAAAGAATTGAAAAAAAAAAGTAAAAGTTTTTACCATTATCTACTTCACAAACTCTGCAATCATTCTCTGAACTTGAATTTTTAACATAATGATTGACATATATGTGTGATTCATATCGAGGCAAATGAGATGCATGAGCTTGAGATGTAGCATCAACAACATTAGAGGAGTGACCAAAAGTATTTAAACGCATGAAACTCTCAGCTGTATTGGGAATGAGTCTGTAAACAAAAAATTAGATTAAGAAAAATATAGTGTTTATAATGGATAGTAAAATAAAGTAACAAAGCACTTTGAAATTTTAAATTACCATTAACGTTAAGGAGATTAATAATACTAAATTTTAAAAAATGCTAACATAGAACAATATAGCTCAATGTAATTACACCTGCAGTCTAAATGAAAATAAGACATTATAAGATAGATAGCTGATTTATGGGTGCACAAAAAAAATGCATAAGTGATACTCATGATTTTAAATTTTACATACATTTTTACAAAATATTATTAAATAAATGTTGAAAATACTTGAACTAACAGATTGAGGAAAAGTAGTAGTGTTTTATTTGATTTAAGTAGACAATAAACCCTTTTTTATCTTTTATTAAGACATCAAAAGAAAACTGGCATAATATTAGAGCTAAGACTAAATTACAAGAAAAATTATAGCCAATTTTAACTAAATGGATTTTTGCGTATTCAAGGATTTTTGTTTGACAAACATTTGAAATTCCCAAACAAAATATTATAATAGCAAAATTTAAATATGATGAACTTAAATACCTGAAAATAAGTGAAACAAAAATTGAAATTTTCAACCAAAGAAAAAAATATTAACAAACATATTTTTCTCTTTGAAAAGAAATTAAAAGAACTTAATGAGTGTATGCAAAATACTACGTAGAGATCCCCTGAAAATGTTAAAACATTTTGGTGGAAGTTCATTCGTGAGAACATCAGCTGAAGTAAGGTTAAAACAATGCATTATTAAATTTAAAATAATAAATAACTATTTAAATACTACCAGTATATTTTAATTCGAACATAATATAAATATAAAAAGTATTAAAGTGCAATTAAATTGAAAAATTCGATTATTTTACATAAATTTCTACAGCTAAACTTGAAAAACTCTAAACTTGAGACAGCTTTGCTGAATTGTGCAAGAGTAACATAAAAACAAATGAGTAATTGATATTGATTGTAGACAAAGGAAACATTGATGTGGGAAAACAATTTATTATGATTGTTCAAAATTATTTTATTTGTCTTTGTTAATATGATAAGTTAAAAAAGAGGAATAGCTAATTGAAAATCATATTAAATGGTTATTTCATATTATAAAGAATTTTTCTCGTCTTCATGTCAGGGTTCAATTTTGCAAACACATATCTAATAAATATACAGATTTTTTTCTAGTACTTAACTGTTTGCTAGGTACAAGACAAAGTTTTATTAAAATTGCCTAACTTCATCTTCAGGAGATAAGCATTTAATGTATAAGTTGGTTGTTTATTTCGCACTGACCTGTTTTTTGTAGCTGTATGCCACTTAAGCCATTGCACAATTATGTTACTTAAGTATTTTAATAAACAATTTTATAACAACTATACCTATTTTACAAAATATTTAATTTTCAATGACTGATATCAGTAAGAGTTTCAAAATAATTAACTTTACACGTAACTACCCTCGTAAAAAGATAACCAAATTACAGATGAAATTATAGGCTCTCCTTTTATCAATAGGTATTAGAAACAAATAAAAATGAAAATAAATATAGCATTTTTTGTTTTGCTTTGTTTAGAACACAATAGTTTTTTTTTTTTCAATTTTCTTTGCTAACAAGCTTTTAAAAAAAATCTTAATGGTAAGAACATACAGACAAACAATATAAAAATTCAATAAAAAAATATATATTTATAAACATTAATTTCCTTACTGTAGGTATATTTAAAAACATTTTTGATTTTAATTGCTAAAATTTACTGACCTTGAAGGTTGTTCTATTTTGCTCCCCTGAGATATTTTGCCAGTAAAAGGCTGAGGAGTAGGAACTGGATTGAAGGATGGTGTCGGCAATCCCCGTTGAGCACCGATTGACAAATTTGGATTTATCTGCAAGACTGGACTGGGACGTTGCAATGGACCTATATTGGTACTTGCTAGGGCACTTTGTGTATTTACTTTTGCAGCATTAGAAATTTGGCTTTGGGATGCTTTAGCACATTTTTGAGCTAAAGACATCTGTTGAGGGGGAGGAACAGGTCTGGGAGTTTCCTTTGTGCTTTTATCTGAATTTTTTCGTGTGAGTGAGATAATTCTTTTCGTTGGAGGTTCTGGAACTGTTGTCCAGACATTTAAAACTGCAAATAAAATAAATAAATAAATAAGGTATTATAAAATAGGAACAGTATTATTTTATAAGTTCTGTGTTAAATAAAAAAATAACAAAAATATTAGCAAAGAATGTAATTTTTGACTTAAATTGGTTTTTACAAAATTTAAGTTTATTAAGTCCAACATTCTAATAAAGAGTTCCTAGGTTGGATCATGAATAGCATTTCATTGAAAATACTTTCATAGTTAAAACAAAGACTAAGCAATGTTAAGATTTTGGCATTGTGATGTATCGTCACGCTAACATCGCGATATTTTGATGCATTGTAATGTTCAGGTATATTAATGTTTTATATTTGGTAAATTCGTAATTAGTAAGTTTCATTTTTTAAAAAATAATTGTGCATCTTTAATATTTAAAGACACGGATGTAGCGGTAAAAAACATTAGACAGCTGGATTGATTGTAAAGAAATCAACAACACACGCACAAATAAAAGAACTCCGTTCCGTAACTAAGTGATACAACAACACTTCGATTCTCAAGTACAATCAGATCCTTCATGTCAGTAAAAGGATGAGTCACGATGAAAAAAAGATGGGGAAAGATAATGATCATCGCTACAGCTATCATTACACACTTAAGGAGGATAATGCTTTGTGTGCGAGCTTCAAACATTGATATACTATTGGGAACAATGCTCAACATTGCGCTTGTAGACATCGATGCCAAAGATGCATCTAGAAATATCATACACATCACACTAAATGACAATTTCCGAAGCTTTGGAACATCGGATTGGCAATAATTGCTTAGAATCAATGTTTTCCAATGCATCGATTTATCACCCAGTCCTAGTTAAAACTTGTTATCGTTTATGAACTTAGAATTTCTAGTTTCTTGTATTTCACAAATCAATTACCTCCTTTCAAAAATTCACAATTCTATAAGTGTTGAAATAACCAATCTGTTTCAAACAAGAATGATACATTGTAGCAAATATAAGGTTGAGGATTTTTTCACAGTGATCTGTCGTAAATACAACAATCACATAAGCGTCAAATGGATTTTGTACTTGCAAATTAAAAAAATACACATGAAACAAGCACGGAAAAAAAACCATGAATAACCAATTGCATTCTTCGCGTTGGTAATTTTTTGTAATTTTTCTTTTATTTGTTTCTCGTTGGCCACTACTAGAAGCTGTCGAGATTTGTTGATTATTCTGCTGCAGATCACGATTTGGAAATCGTTACAAAAGACAATTTTTTGAAGAAACTTAGGTTAAAGTAGATATTAATGTATAATAATCTCGTTTGCGAGCTATCAACATTATTCTCATTAGACAAAAGAAATTAAATTAACGCATTATATTGGAAATTATAATGAAAAAATATAATTAAAATACCTGGAATATCAGGGGGGGTGTCTTTCTTAACATATTTTCCAGCAACACCATCACTAAGATATTTTAAATCTTTTTTCTTTGAAGACAACATGATATTTAAGCACTATATACAATCAGCGCATGCTAAAATGTGAGAAACAGCATCTAAAAAGGTGAAGAATTCCATATTTTATATTTATCTTTTTCAATGAGCACAGAGAAATGGATAGCATAAAAAGTTGGTACTAGTAAGAAAAAGTTCTGGGCATCAAAAGAAAAAAACATTATGCATTTGTCGAAATCTTACAAAAATAAATAACAGGAATTATATCATGCAATGCAACACTGTAAATTTCGAAACATTCATTTATACGAGATAATAAATAATATTGCATATCAGACGTTTCAGTGCATTAAACATTTACAAGGCTTACATTTATAACTTTAATGGCAGGCCTTAATTTATAAAAACATAACACAATTTTTGTCCTTTAATAATGAGAATTTTTATGCAAAATAGTATATTTACATCCATTATTTGAGATATGATATATGTATGTTGATCAAAATTTGTAAACAAGAGAGCAACATCGTCAACAATGTTCTAATCACGGTTACGTCTAAAATATTTCAAATATGTTGGCTTAGCATTTGGGAAATTATTTTTTTCTTTGCATAAAATAAAAGCTATGAGATGGTAAACTTTTGTAAAAGAAAATGAAACCATTGAAAAAGTGTTTTGAAACATAGACTAAATTTTAAAATTTTTTAAAAATTACAATATCGATGATTATCTTTATAATCTGAATTGGTGGAATTTTGGAGCGAAATTGAAGCATATTTGTTTTGATTAGCTGCAAATCCGAAAGTGTTCATGAAACTTGAATTTCAGAAAATAAAATACTAAAGTTATTACTTTAAAAATATGTCTTGTTCTCTTGATAATGCTATACCCTCATTACTTTTCGAGCATGCTTGTAAAAATAGTTATAATAATACAATTGCTTGTAAGTATATTGAAATTACTTCTTTGAAACTGATTAAATTAAATTTATGTTCTTTATTAATTTATTTCCCTGATTAATTTGTTTTTTATTCTATATATTCTGTTTCTCCATCATGTTTATAGTAATTGAATTAAAAACGGATTGTCTAATTCTAAATTCCACTGGTAAAAGGAGAAAAAAATATTGCTTTTTTTAGTTTTTCATGGGCAAAGCTTGACTATCATTAGGGAGATTTCCGTATCGTGATCTGTGGCAGAATTCCCGTCAAGTCTTGAAAACTTCTGGGCAGAGCCCCGCTAGAAACTAAAAGAAAAACATCACAGAAAAGGACCAATTAGAAAGATATAATTCCTTGGCGATTGTAGTTGGCGAGACAGATATATCCCCGCATTCTTCATAATTTCAAATTTGTCTGAGACTTCAAAGCAGTCAGACAGGGATTATTATAAAAATTAAGCTTAATCTAACATAATAATTTGTATTGAGCATCTAATATAATAGTGCAGTGTTTTCACTACAGTGCGAGAACGCGAGAATCTCGCATATATTTTTCTTTTCTCGCATTAAAAAATGATTAACGCGAGAAATTCGCGCATTCTATAAACCAATTTCAAAATTCAGGAATTTCTTGCATTTTGAAAAAAATTTCTCATTATGCCAATTAGAATGAAATCCGTTTCGCTTTTCTTCCTGGATCTTTCATTATTTTCAACATCTGCCCCAATATCTAGCTTCCCTATTTACCAGTATTGTTCAGAACTTTTATGAACAACAGAACACCATCCCTCGGAACCACGGAGCCTCTTTCAGAACGCATTTCTCTGCAACCACGTGTTTACCGTACGTAAGGTTTCTCCATGTAAGAAGTTCAAATTTTTTGCGCATTAATGTAAGATGGACAAATACCTTGTAAAGGCAATATCTTCTACTCCGAAACGGACAAATGAAAATGAAACAAATGTGGGTAGAAACGATCAAAACGAAACAAATACGCATTTGAACAACATAATGAGAATAGCTGATGAAAAAGTAGATGTAGAACATTTTCCATATGATGATGCAAAAAAAATATTCAATGCTTTAAAAATTAGAAGATGTTGAAAATGTATTATAATTAAAGAAATGATTTTTTTTCAATTCTCTTTGTGTTTTTTTTTTTTTTTAATTTTTAGGTATCTCACTTAACTTTTTGAAATCTCACCCTGTTTTCGAGAAAGGGTGAGAAATTCTCACCCGTTTTTTTTCTGTGATGAAAACACTGTAGTCTAACACTATTTGCAACTATTAAATGTAATAAAGTTGTTCACTAAAACTTTATTGTTTAGGGTGACCTGGGGTAATTCCTGATCAAAAAATGCAAACATCTATTTTGTGAAAAAACTATTCAAGATGGAATTTTAATATTTTCTGGAAGTTTGAGGCTATATGAGATGAGTCCAATGCTACCTTCTTTTGTTTGAAAATCTAATTAGAATTTAAAAGATTTTAAATTTTTAGTGATCAGGAATTACCCCGTCTCTTGATCAATTCTGGGGTAAATCCTGATCATTTCTGGGGTAATTACTGATCACCAGTTTTTATAGTAAATGGGCTGTTTAAAAATAACTATACAATGGTAATTAACAAATAAGACATTAAGATCAAACAAATAAACCAAAAAGATATGTTTAAGCAGCTAATAAAACTGTTTATTTAAAATCAGGAATAAAGATTAACACTTCAGCTCTGGCAGCAGCTCTCACACTGAAATTTTCATTTTCAATCATTAAAA